CTCTCTCTCTCTCTCTCTCTCTCTCTCTCTCTCTCTCTCTCTCTCTCTCATTCTCCAGAAAGCCTCAGCACTCAGGCAGTCTGATCTCCACCCATAAGCCAGAGGGCGGGAACCCAGAGAAACCCTCTCCAGCCTTGGTTTTTCATGTAGAACAGATGAGATCATATCTCTTCATGGCTTCACACCCTCCACAACCCACTTGGAATAAACTCTCACTCCCTGTCTGGCCACAGGGCCCTTCACTTTGCTCAGGCCCTCCTACCTCTGACTCACCTCTTCTTGGTCTCCCTCCATCCCCTCCATCTGGCTTTGACAGGGCTGTTTCTCACCCTTCTTCAGGCCTCGGCACTTGCTGTTCTCCCTGTCTGGAAATCTGCCCCTCCCCCATCAGTTGGTTGGCTGCTTCTTGCTGTTTAGGTGTCAGCTCAATGTCAGCGCCTCGGACAGCCCTCCCTGATGTGGCATGCCTGCCCACTAGGCACCACCTGTCATACTACTCTTTTATTTTCTTCTTAGTATGAATCAGTGTCTGAAGATACTTAGATATTTCTTTGCTTGTTTATTGTCTGTCTTCTTCCCTGAAACATAAGCTCCACAAATATGTCAACTGTTTGCTTCCTTCGTTACTATGTTCCAGGTCCCTGGATTGGAGCTTGGCACCTAATAGGCACTTGACGGTATTTGTTGAGTGAGTGAGTGAATGAATGAATGAATGAATGCCACGCAGGATCTTAGGGATGAAGCCCTGGGCGCTTGGCCTCTGTGTCCCCCTACACAGCTGTCCTCCAGGGTCCAACTAGCTCTCGGCTGATGGGTCTGGTCTGGCTCAGGTGAACTCTTTCTCTGAATTCTATACCTACCATATCTTCTCCCTGGAGACCCTGACTCCAGGTGTGGAAACAGCTTTTCCTTTTTAACCCTCAAAACACCAAGGGTTTCATTAAACCAGTTGAGCTTTCCATCCCCGCCTCAGGGTGATGGCCGGCCCCTTGCATTTCTGATCCTGGGCTATACCTCTCAGACTGCACATCTGGACATGTGTGTGTGTGTGTGTGTGTGTGTGTTTGTGCACGTGTGTGTGTGCATGCACACACGTGTGTTACTTTTTATTCACACGATACAGAGAGTGAGCCTCGCGACCAGCACTGGTCTGGGCTCTGTCTGAGCTGATGCCCAGAAAACAGTTCCAGACCTTATAAAGAAGGGTTTCCCTGGCTGTCCCTGGCTTTCCAGCTCTGGAATCTGCCCTCCCCAAGAAGGGGCCTCCAGACCGAAGGAGGGAGAGTCCCTGAGCTTCTCAGGACGACCCGAGACTAAGTCCTTCCTCCTCCCCTCCCCAGACCTCCCCCACCTGAAGCAGCGCTTGCAGGCCCTCCACCTGTTGATCCTGGTCCTGCCAGAGCCCAACCGAAATGCCCTGAAGGTAAAAGTTTCCTCAAGCTGCCTCCACCCTGTCATCTCAGCCCACAGCCACAGTACCAGGTTCTGAATGTGCTCCTTCATTCATTCAACGACTCCGCCAGGTGCGGGGCTTGCAGTCATGGCCCACGGTGAGGGCCAAGTCTTTCCTGAGACTTTTCCCCTAAAGAAAGCAGCTGAGTCCTGAAAGGATATAGTGCTTCCTAGAGCAACGTCAGTTCTATGTGGCGCTAACAGGTGTCCACAGGGAAAAAGGGTTCAAATGAGGTGGGTAAACACTGAGTTCATGACCCAAGGTTAAGGATCACTCTTTCCTACAGATTTCTCAGTGCCTTTGACCTTTGATATGCTTACGCTCCAAGTGGGACTAGAGTCAGTAGCAGCTCCCCAAGGTAGTTGCTCAGGGACCTCTTTTGTTATGGAAAGCATGGGCGGGTGTTCTGTGGGGCACCAGTTTGGGAAATACTCCTTTTGGGCGGGTGTTCTGTGGGGCACCAGTTTGGGAAATACTCTTTTAGGGAACTTCCGCTGTGTATTATGGGAGTGGGTGCTCAGGGCTGGGGGCTGGGGCTCGGGTACAGCCTTTGCTTAGCTCCCAGCACCCTCCTGGCTGTTCTTGGGTCAAACCCAAGATGTACCTCTAGGGTGAGGCTGTGAGGAGGCCCCAGGTCTGTTGGAATCCTTGTCTGATGTGGACATAGGAGGCCCCGAGGAAGTACTTGTAACCAGGCTGAGCTGAGCTCAAGTGACCTCCCCTCGTTGTGCCTCAGCTTTGTTGAAGAGAGAGCCTTTTTGAATTTCTGTTTCCTTTTCACTAAACAGGATAATAATAACATCTTTGTGATTGTTTTGGGAATATAAGAGGTAACACGTAAGGAATCATAGAGTAAAAGATGTGGTACTTTGCAGGCACTCAATATATTTCCTTCCTTCCTTCCTTCTTTCCTTCCTTCCTTCCTTCCTTCACTCCTTCCTTCCTTCCTTCCTATCTCCCTTCCATCCATCCTCAGCCAACACTCAACCACCCATCCATTCATCTTTTCATCCTTCTATCCCTCCCTTTCTCCTTTCATCCTTACTGGCTATGTGGCCTTGGGCACACTCTCCAAGCCATAGTTTCCTCCTCTGTGCAGTGGGTACAAATGGCAGAGCCTACTTTATAGAGTTGTTGGGAGGATTCGATGAGATGATAAATGCATGTAAGGTGCTGACTAAAGGGCTAGGAACACAAAGAATATTTCATAAATGGCAGCTATTATCACCTTCCCCTTTTCTTCCCATTGCCTCGGCTTCTCTAGTCCTCCCCTTGCATTTTGGGCAGATGCAGACTCCCCAGACCCAGAAAAAGGAGTTGTCCTGGGGCCCCCCAGGAAGAGCCCTGCTTCCCAGAGCTGTGGCTCTTTTCTGCCCGGGAGTTGCAGTCTGACCTGGATGTCTCGTTACTCTCTGGGAGCAGGGAAGGGAAACGGTTTGGGCCACATGTTGTAGAGCAGGAAACAGTCACAGAGAAGTCGTGGGATGGGCTGATGGCAAAGCTCCAACTGAAACCTCTCTTCCAGCCCCTTTCTCCTTCCAAGGGCCCCCAAGTAGCACAGCAGGATGTCCTGGGGGGGAGGGGGGGAGCCCCGGGGATGTGCTAAGGTTTGAGGGAGGTTCTGTGCCTTTCCCTAGGCACTGCTGGAATTCCTGAGAAAGGTGGTAGCCCGAGAACAGAGCAACAAGATGACTCTGTGGAACGTTTCCACAGTGATGGCCCCTAATCTCTTCCTGCACCGCGGGCAGCCCCCCAAGCTCCCCAAGGGCAAGCAGAAGCAGCTGGCAGAGGGGGCGGCTGAGGTGGTGCAGATGATGGTGCTTTACCAGGACCTGCTTTGGACGGTGAGTGCTGTGGGCCAACAGGAGTTGAGGGGGCGTCCATCTGGGTAGCAGGCATAGGCCCTGTCCCCCTCTGGGTACGGTTGTCCTGTTGCCTCTGCCATCCATGATTGCAGGTACTATCTTTTCAAATCCCTAGTTTTGTCTCTTCTGAGAACTTTGTTGGATCTTATGTATGGACAACGTCCTCTTTTTCCCTTGTTTTAGCGTCTAAAACAGCGGTTCTCAACCTTCCTAATGCCGTGACCCCTTAATACAGTTCCTCATGTTGTGGTGACCCCCAACCATAAAATTATTTTCATTGCTACTCTATAANTTCCAGGAAGTGAGATGCCCCTTCTGCTCTTGTGACTTTCCATAGAAACCCGCCTTTTCGGCGTGCCCCTTGAAGCCCTGCTGGAAGCCGACCGCAAAGCCCTCCCCAGCACCCAGGTCCCGCTGGTCCTTCAAGCTGTAAGTTGTCTTCAGATTGGACTCATTTAGCCAGTGAAAGGCTGGCTCTGGGCATAACTGTTGCGGGATGTCTAGCCTGGGGGATAAGAGCGTGGACTTTAGAATCAGGAGACCTGGGTTCAAATTCTGACTCTGACACATGGTGGCTGAGAGACTTGGGGTGAATTTTTGAACCTCAATGAGTCTGTCTTTCAGTATCTATGAAGTGGGGTTATAATAACAGTATCTTTCTCTTATTAAGGATTGAATGAGAAAAATGCATATTTAAGGAAAAAAAATCTCTCAGAACAATGCCTGGCTCATGGAAGTGGCCAAGAAAGCTATTATTCTTATTTTGAGGGAGACCTTCTTCTAGCTCTTTCCTCGCCCTGGTTTTCATGGGAGGCAAACACACTAGTTTGATTCCACTTTTCAATGGTTTCTGGTTTAAACGTTGGGTTCTTTCTCTCATAGCTGTTGTCCTGTTTGGAAAAGCGAGGGCTGGACACAGAAGGCATTCTCAGGGTGCCTGGATCCCAGGCCAGGGTCAAGGTAATGGTTTGGTTTTCCCCACTTCATCAAAGTTGCATCTCCCAGCACCCTCACATGTGCGTTAAGCCAGAGGAGAATCCAGTTCACAGCCTATCAGTGTTCTGTCTTTGGTCTCTGTTTGGGTCTCGGACTTCCAGGAGGGTTTGAAAGGGTGGAGATGGCACAGTATAGCACGGGGGTGAGAGTGTGGGCCCGGGAGTCAGACTGCCGACATTTGTGGAGTGGAAACCCTGTGCCAGGTGACACACTAGGCCATTTGCTCCTCATATCAACCGGACGAGGTAGGTGCTATTATTGTCCCCACTTTGCAGATGAGGAAACCAAGGCCCAGGGAGAGTGTTGGAGTATCTTACACTGGAGCCTTGGGCCAACTCCTCATGAGTGCCCCTCCTTTCTTCAGGGACTGGAACAAAAGCTGGAGAGAGATTTCTACGCTGGCCTGTTTAGCTGGGACGAGGTTCGCCACAATGATGCGTCCGATTTGCTCAAAAGGTTCATCCGGGAGCTACCGACGCCCCTGCTCACTGCTGAGTACCTCCCGGCCTTCGCTGTGGTGCCCAGTGAGTGTCCCCCAGCCCTTTGCTTCTGGGGAGAAGAGCATTGGATGGCCTGGGTTGGAGGGCGAAGTGGTGGGCAGACAGAACTACCTGCTCCCTGTGAGCTGC